AATTACTAAGCATAATAAAATATACTCAACAAAATCAATAACAATTACAACAATAACATGTGGCAAAATAACACCATTAACTGTAAATGCAGAAACAAAGAAAATTGCCCACTAACAATAAATGTTTAACCAATAAGATAATATACAAATCTATCGTAACTAATAACATTAACACAGACAAAAACATTTACATAGGTGCCACAGAAAAAAAACTTTTAAAGAAAGATATTATAACCACACACAAAATGTCATTCAAAAGAAAAAATACACAAACACTACTACCCTATCAAAATATATATGGAGCTAAAAAGAAAACAATATCCCACCAAAATCAAATGGGAAATTATAAAAAAGCAGCCTCATACAGTATTAACAGTAAAAATTGTAAATTATGCTTAGAGGAAAAATGAGCAATCATTAGTTTCAAAAAACAAAATAAACTCTTAACCAAGAAAACTGATATAATAGGTAAATCTAGACATATAAATAAATACTTACTTTGCCATGTAAGTATGAATTAAAAATAAACAAATAAATATAAATAAAATAATATAAACTCTAAATAAATAAATAAATGAAATGAATATAAACTTTAAATATAAATGAAATAATATAATATAAACTTAATTTATTAATAAATAAATAAACAAACAAATATTAAACATACACACCTATATGCATGTACATATAAATATATACATACACACACACAAACACAAAAAACAAACTTAACCCTCTATAATTAATACATCAATATATAACATGAAGGCAAAAACAAATAAACTACTAATCATTAAATAAAAATGAAACATTAAATAAACAATAACATATGACATAATCAAACACTTACTTTAATATATATACACTATTTAACAATGACATATATGTGCAGCATGCATGTGTGGAAATATATATATATATATATATATATATATATATATATATATATATATATTCAAACAAATTCTATTAACCCAACCAACCATAATTAATACCCTAAAAATAGAAAAAAATTACTTCACCATTTAAGCACTAGTTTATTAATAATAAACCACAGACATAATTGTACATGTACCTGTGTATATATGTTTATATGTATGCGTATATATACCTATATACATGCATGCATAGATCTGCATGTGTGTGTATACATAACTGTATAAATACATAAATCCAAACAATAATAAATAAAAATTTAATTATAAATCTAACCTACAATTAATACTTATGATACCACCAAACCAAATAAAAAAATTAAATAATAGCCTAGTGAAGATCTATGAGTATAAGTATATATGAATGTGTGTGTGTATATATATATATATATATATGGGCAAAGAGTGTGTGGGCGTGTTTGTGGGTTTGCATGTTTGTGTATGTATATATAAGTATTTACCATTAATCATATATATATATATATATATATATATATATATATATATATATATATAGGATAAATATAATTCAATTATTTATGAATCTGAATTCAGATGTAATTTAAAATTATTTAAATATTATTTACCAAAAATGTAATTATGTTCATGTTCAATGACTTCAGCCCAACAGACAAGTAAATTTTTGATTTGATGTTTAAAGACATCTACCTTTAACACCCCCCCCCTAAAGACTATTTTCAACTTCCTTGGTTCTGAATGTTTTGCCACCTATGAAATGAAGAGCGAAGCATTAATAGAAGCAACAGCTACTGTTTTAAAAATTACCCTATAGTGCTCAATTGCCTAATGAGAGCATATATATATATACATATATATATATATACATATATATATATATATATATATATATATCTACATATACATATATATATATATACACATATATATATGTACATATATATATATGTACAGCAACCTAACTGAAAATGCATTTATTTTATACAGGAAATATTTAAAATTTATATCTTATTTATCATTACTATCTGCTTTACTATTCAGAACAGCATGTTCATCTTTGTTGTTATATTTTCTTGAGTACATATCTTTAGTTTAAAGGTCCAAAATTGCATCATTGGCATCATAGATTAAAGCATTGGTTTAAACATATCTAGTTCCATGATATTTCTGAGTTCAGTCCTTGGGACTGGTATTGCTTAAAAGTTGTATACACCGGTTCAGTAAAAAGAAATAAGCAAGCAGCACAAAGGTGAATAAAACTGATGAATATTAAATGATGTGAAATAACCCCTAAGCATGGAAAAGTTTCAGTTCAAAAATTCTGAGGAGGTTACTGAGTACAACAACAAACACCTGAAAAGAATTGGAAATTTCAATGGTTAAAACATTGAGTATAACAACTAAGATGAGCATGCTGGTCCAAATATCATGACATATAATAAATATTTTTAACACCATCTCCTTCAATGAAATTAATTCACATGTAAATATTAATTATATCGATCAAACATTATACAGTAAAAATTTCAAATCAAAATTCAGCTAACAACAACACGGCACATGATAGACTTGTTGTTCCACATTCATATGAGTCTGTATTTATATTGCATTTCATATTTATCTATATTACATATTGTATTATATTTTGATTCGTAATATGGCATATCTTAACTGCTAAAATAAATTTATCAGCACTGGTTTTTCATATAGTTCAAAAATATACATTTTGATAGTCTTATAGCTATTGTATCTTTCATCTTACAGATTTTGATTATTGTACTGTATCTATTATTTTGACCTCATCTCTAAAGGGAGCAATGTTTTTTTGTAACATTTCAACTGATATGTTTTTTGCTTTTTTTGTTTTATCTGAGATATTTTCCTTATTTCATATACTTTTCAGAGAACTGCCTTTATTGCAGGCGGGTCTGCAAATAGATATTGAATGACAGAAGACGACAAACAAAATGAAGACTTGAGTAAAAAATATATTGCCAAGTTTATTTTCTTTAAAGAAAATACATCAACAAAAATAAGGTTACAATGCATTAGACAAAAAATATCTCTCCATGCTCATGTTGAGAGTGAGAAGAGCATTGTCCTGAGAGGCACAGTTTTGTAGTTGCTGGAGAGTGTTGTCCAGAAAAGGACAGTTTATTGCATATGATTGCTGCTGGTGAGAATGGCTGAAACTGAAGTTGATGAGGGCTGGCTGGCAAGCTGGATCTGCTGCTGATGGCTGGAGCCATGGACCTTGGCTACTGGAAAAGATACTACACTTTGATCCTAGTCATTATTGGCACAAGGCTGAAGGGGAATAGGGTGAGGTTGGTTGGCACTGACTATGCTAAACCTAGCTAATCTGATTCAGAATCCATTACAATTTACAGTGCTACTTTAGCTTGTTATCTACAAGAAAAAAATATCTACACTGTACAAATTTTAATTTAGAATGACATCTACATAGTAAAACAGGTGCTACTTTGACTTGTTATCTTGTTATGCCAAAGTAGCACCATGTTTTACTATGTAGATATCATTCCAAATTAAAATTTATACAGTGTAGACATTTTAGCCGATGTACATGCTGTTTATTGCCAGAATATAAATAAAAGAAAAATTTTTAATATTTTAATTACATTTTCTTTGTTATATATCATTCCAAAATAAAATTTGTATGGTGTACATATTTTTTCTTATAGATAACAAACCAAAATAGATTTTTTTTTACCTTGTAGATAACAAGCTAAAGTAGATTTTTTACAAGATAATAAACCAAAGTAGAACAAAATTTACTTTGGTGCTAGTCATCTGGCCGCGGAATGTGTATTTTTTTTGTTGCTTTGAGACCTTTCCATATTCTGAATAATTCTTACAAAGACCCTGATTAAGCCTTTTCTTCTGGTTGTTTTTTAAAAAAATGTGGGAGTGCTGACAGGATACAACACCTTCATTTTTTTAAAACAAGAAACATTGCTGAGAGAGTTGAAAATGTATACAATACTAGTGGTATCATGAGAATAACCATACTTTTGACACAGCATTTTTTTGAAGGTTAAATATTACCAAAAAGGTGTTATTCATAAACTTAATAGATACATGATTTAAAATTCATCTTGGAGCAAAATTTTCAATTATAATATATTCTGCTGTTGTATGTGTAATAAAAGATGGTGTATTGTTATGAGAAGCATAGAGTAATGTTGAAATTCAAATGGTCACAGACCAAAAATGTTCAAAATATTATTATTTATAGTGTTTGAGATGCTCCAGTAAAGTTTATTTCAGAGTCTGTTTCCTTATTTTTACTGATTAACAAAGATTTCTTGGTTTGTACTTATTAATCATGAGTTTTTATTTAGGTGTGGTATGAAATATTTTTTTTACTTTTTCATCCTAACTTTTTTGTTTTTTATCTTTTACAAAATTTTTTATTTAATTGCAATCATGATGTGAGTGTTCATTTTGAACACTATAAGATGTAAAGTTGAGTTCATTACATTCATTTACATGCTAATACTCTTTGGAAAGATATAAATCCACTTCTTCTCCCTCCAGCTATGAGTAAATAGCAGGACAGGCTGGGTCCTATAGCCTTGGGTAGCAACCGGTCTAGGAGAAGAACAACTGAATTCAGAACCTGAAGGCTTAGTGTATGGACCAAGGGCAACCCACAACATATTTTGTGGTCTTTGGCTGTCAGTCAAGAGCTTGGAGAGGAGATGGGCACTACCAAGTTATCTGAAAGCCCACTGAAAGGAAGAAGAATAAAACTTAAAACTCTGTTTCTTCTGTCCTCAGGTCGTCCTTTTGATTGAAGCAGTTGAGGGTTAAAAAAAAAATGTAAATCTCTCACTGGCAAGAGAAATATCTCATTTGAAATAAACTTAAAACCCCTCTCATCGTAGCAATCACACAGACACAATTTCAATTTGTGATAACAGCTACAGTTACACTGAGTCAATATATAAACATTTGCAAATTGTCAGTAGTAAAATGTGAGAGTAATTGTTTGGTTTTCTATGTTTTGCGTGACAAGCTATCCTTAGTTATGTCCCTTAATGTGCGGCTTGGCCACCCATCACCATGTTATGGTTTAAATGCGATGAAATTATACCAGGCGTTATTTTGGCTTTAATCTATGTCGCCCTCAGTTTATCTGGTGTCTTTTTTTATATGGAATATGAAGGTATTGAAGATGTAGACAGCCACTGCAGGTAAGAAACAAAGAAATGCGTAAAAAAAAAAGAAAAAATCACCTCAATGAATGGATCTGCTTTTCTCGTTATTTGATTTGAATTTTCTTTTTTTGACAAAAAAAGTCAAATAATCTTTTTTTAAGGGTATCCTTAGTTCAGTTTAAGTATTTTAAAAATACTAATCATTCTAATACACAACACACATATTTGCACTAATTTTATTAATTAACTGTGTTTGTACCGAATGTAAGTTCTTGAGAAAAAAATAGTATCGTTGTGGAAGATGACCGAAGGTGATAAAATTTGATAAGAATGCGGAACTTTAAAATAATAAGCTATTTTTCCTGTCTAAATCGTAGGATTGAGGTTTTAAAATGTCATCGATTAAGTAAGTGGAAAGAAAAAAAAAAAGAAGATAAAAGGAAATCTTGTGTTGATAAAAAAATTGAAATCGTAAAATTTTATTTGTTCTGTGTCTATTCATTCAGTGTTGTGTTCAACGATGAAAATGAAAATGAAAGCACTACGTAAACATTAAAAAAAAAACAATAACAAGTTCACCTTGTAGTTTGAAATCTCGATTCTTTCATTAACTTAAATTATTTAATTTAAATCTATTTATTCGCAACATTAATATCCAGAATTTACCTAATTTAACTTCACACATTTAAATTGAAACGTAAAACATAAGGTAAAAAAAACTCAGTATTTAAATGTCAGAGTTGAAGAGCTGTTTTTGATCACATGAACGATATTTTTGTACGTAAAATGTACTGAAGAAAAGTTGAATATTTTTGCACTTGTCGGTGTAAAAATATTTTAAACAATTGCATCTCTAATTCGGAAAATTAGGAATCGAAAATTTCAATAAAATTTTTCTTTGCGTTATGTTGATTCAGTGATTCTACTCACTAAAAAAAAAGGAAGGACAACTTTTTTTTTTATTTAATTTATAAAAAAAAAAAAAAAACTTTAAATTAAATTGATAATTTACCTTTCCCCATTTTCTAAATTTGCTTGGGTGAGGAATTCGGAATGTGTACGACTTCGTATTATTTTGGAAAAAAGGCAAATGATTTGAATTTGATTGATCTAACTCAATCGAATCAATCCGTCATTCCTACAACAGTTGTTTTTGTTGTTGTAATAATAATAATATAAAGCTGAGGGAATTTGGTTATTAGGTTCTAGCCTTCTATGTGACGTATCCCTTCAGGACATGGGCGATCATAGTTCTTTATAACTTCCTGTACATTGTACAGGGTGGTCCGAAGGTATTGTCATCCACTACCTCTCTAAACTGTAGGTGCTCGTGTCAGCCATCTGAAAAAGATTATATTATGTAGAGGCGACAAAACTTTCGGACCACCCTGTAGTTTTTCTTAGCAATGCTTGTCTTTTTGCTGTCTCTCCTAATCCCTGATCTGCCAGTAATTTAGGGACAGAGGAAAGCAACGAATAACCTATATAATTTGCTTGTACACTGTAAGTTTTGGTTTTATTAAGTTAAAAAAAACATCCTATTTCTTTTGATGTACATTTAAAACTTTTAAATTAAATATAATGAACTCATTACCAACTTAGCCATAAAAAATATAATCTTTTTCCGTATTTTATCATTTACATTCACTGTGATGATGACTTTAATATTTTTATCAGGCTTTTTTATGTCCAAATCCCTGGTCAAAATTCGATTTTGGAACATTAGTAATAAATCTAGTTTTTCTACCTTATAGCAATATACATTCTTGTAATACTTAAGTGGTAAATATTTAGTGATCTTTCTTGTGTACTGGATGCTGTAGACTACAGTAAATTGTAGCATAAAAAGCACACATTTCTTTCAAAATTTTGACTCCCACAAAAAGTTTTATGCTCTCTGATGATTTATTTGATACCAGGAAAAACTCGCTAAAAGGTTCCATAGACATTTTATATTCAATCTCTTTAAATGTTTAAAAAGACATGTTCAAATGAATGATTGCTACCTAAATATACAATAATTTTTAAATATATTGTTGTGTCGGAAACCTACCACCCCTCTTGAAGATGAACTTGTCTGCGTCTGTGAACAAAGACTTTAAATAGTGGCATGTCAGTAGACATGGGGGAAGACAGATAGAGAAGTTCTTAGCTGAGCTAGTTATTGACTACTCAGGCGATTTCTGTACCTTTTTACCAACCTATTAAAACCTTTTTTATTGTTACGTGTTATTTGGCATTTGTCTCTACTAACCCCAAATCAACATCATAACATATATGAAGGAATTTCCCATTTTTCGATGTATGAGGGTCCAGCAGCTCAGTTCTTAGAACCAGTCTACCTGCACATATGATTTGATTATAGTGGTGAAGGCTTGTGCAGAACTGACCACCCTTTTGGGAAGAGCTGAATAAAGAGGACTGATGCACAGCATGCCACAATGTCCACAAATGACTCAGGCTTTGTATTCAGAGTTGTTGTTCATCCTAAACTAGTTGCCACCCAAGGCTATAGGATCCAGTTTGCCTTGCTATTTACCTATAGCTAGGGACAGAAAAGATGAATCCATACCTTTCCCCACGGTATTAGCGTGTAAGTGAATGTAATGAATTCAACTGGAATTCCTGAATTCCTTTAGCCGCTATCCATTACTGCACCATACCTTACCATATATATATATATATATAGAGAGAGAGAGAGAGGGAGAGAGAGAATTAATACAAGTAAAAGGTTGTCACTTAGCTGACTGATGTTACCTTTAGCATCCCAGCTCCAGAGTTTTGTAGATGGACCTGTCCGTCCACTCGTCAGGTGGTATCAACAATTGATTGCTTATACTTCTCAATTTTTCTTTTTTATATGCACTTATCATTGGTGCAAGTTTTTTTTTTCATAATGTTTGTGTGTCATCACACATGCATATGTGTGCCCATCTGCATGGATGTGTGTATGTGAAAGGTGTTGTGATTATTTGTTCTTTTTGTTGCTTTTTTTCTTTCTTAATGTTCAGAAAATAAAACAGGTTTTTAACTATTATTTTTGAAATGACAGATCGTATTTTAGAAGGTTTTTTATTAATCAAAATATGAACCATAAGATTCTACACACTTTTGCTAAGAAGAATAAGTGTAGTCATTCCATTAGCATAGAAGTTAGAAGTTTTGGAGGCAACAAAATCTTCAAAGGCATTTTGGGCAGCAACTGAATCGTTGAAAACCTTTCCTTGTAAGAAGTTGTCAAAATGTTTGAAAAAGTGGTAACCAGTTAATGAAGGATCAGATGAGCAAAGTGGATGAGGCAGAGTTTTTCATTCAATTTCTGTAAGGTTTATTTACAACATGTGACTGGGTATTGTTGTGCAAGAAGATTGGACTTTTTCTGTTGACTAATACTGGACACTTACACTGCAATTTCTGATGCATTTTATTCATTTCTTGGCAATACTTCATGGATGTGATTGTTTCACCAGATTCAGAAAGCTTAGGTGAATCAATCTAGCTTTAGACTATTAAACAGTTACCATAACCTTGTCTTGGTAGAACTTTGGCTTTGGGAAGGGTTTAGAGTTTTCAGTTTGATTCAGTCCTGAATGTCATTGGTTGTCATATAGGATCCATTTTTCATCACATGTGTCAAAGTGATCAAGAGCATCATTTTTTATGTACAAAAGAAGAGCTGAACAGACTTCATAATAACGATTCTTTTGGTTTTCATTCAATTTGTATGGTACTCTTTTGTCCTTCTTCCTAGACTTTCCAATTTTGTTCAGATATTCATAAATTGATCTAATACTTGCACTTAGCCTGCTTGAAAGATCTTGAACAGTGGTGTGAGGATTTGCCTTTAATAATGTTCTCATCATTTGGCAGCACCCTGATTGTCCAGGCAGCCTTCTCTAGGGACAGCACTGCTTGCTCTGTATGGAGAGAGGTCTAGAAAAGGTGGCCTAATCAAAACTCCTTCTACATTAACTAATTGGCTAACCACAGTCAACAGGCCTCTTCTCATGCAAACATCAGTAAAGAAAAGGTTCACACCCATAAGGGTATCAAAGGACTACATGTAGCATGCTGGAACATCAGGACCATGCTGTACACACCTGACAGTGGTTGACCAAAATGTTGCTCTTCTCTAATTTCAGATGAACTGTCAAGACTAAATGTTGACACTGCTGTTCTCAGTGAAGTCCATTTCCCAGAAGAAGGCAGCCTACAAGAGCATAGTGCTGGATATACCCTCTACTGGTCAGGCAATTCAGTCGTCATCTTTTTGTTGGTTTCATGATCAGGGATTCCATTTCCTTCAAGCTTTAAAACCTGCCCACAGGTTATTCTGACCGCATCATCTCTATGTGTCTCTCATTGAGTAATCTTTAATTGCCACACTAATTAGTGTGTACTCCCCAAATTTACAAGCAGATCTTGTGGAAAAAGATAAATTTTACTCAGATTTGCACAGCCTACTATGAGATGCCCCTGCAGACAATAAGGTTATAATCCTTGCTGATTTCAATGCCAGAGTGGGCCATGATTTTGCAGCCTGGAAGTGATAACTGTAATGACAACAGGCGCTTGCTGCTAGAGTTCTGTGCAGAGAATCAGCTCATCATCACAAACACTGTCTTCCAACAGAAAAACAGATTAAAAACAACGTGGATGCATCCTTGGTCTAAACATTGGCACCTCATTGACTATGTCATAGTGTGACAGTATGACCTGAAAATATCATGCCTACACAAGTGATACCCAGTGCAGAATGTCATACCAACCATTGTCTAGTTTGCTGCAAACTCAAGCTCCACTTTAATCTCAGGCCAAGAAAAGGAGGGCCCCTCTGTAAAAACTTCAAGGTTGGCAGTTTTAAATCAGATGAAGTGAAAGCTAACTTTCAAGAAGCACTTGAGTCAAGGCTTGAAGATGTGTGTGTCCCCACAGATTCTTCTCTTGAAACACTTTGGTAAAAACTCAAAACTGGCATTCTGCAGACATCTGTAGAAGCTTTGGGTTCTCCTCAAGGAAGGACAAAAACTGCTTTGATGATAGCAATTTGGAAATCAAAGAACTGATGGTAAGGAAGAGATTAACTCATCTAGCCCACTTAGCTCAACCGGCTGCCCTGTAAAGAAAGCTGTGTTCCATTTCATATGCTGCAGCACAGGCTTTGAGAGATTTGAAAATACCTGCAGGGCTGCTCTCAAGGACAAGATGCAGAAGAGGAAGTACTGCAATGCTATATCATCATGCCCAGGCCAGACTTTCAGCTACAACTGCTGTGACCGTGTATGTCTATCCTGTAATTGGTGTGTACAGACTCCCTCTTGATCTTCATTTTGCGAAGCCAAGTCGTAATGAATGTTTTCAATTTCTCATCTTCAATAGCACTGTACATACGTTAAAAGATCCTTCTCCACAAATCATATTAATGTTTCGAGCTGTTTGCACTACACTACAGCCAAGATTATCTTCATGAAAGAAAATTTGACAAAATTCTTTTTTTGACATCTTAGTAAAGAGATCTGAAACATATCCAGTAAGTGAAAAGTATATAAAATACTCTTTAAAATAATATATCATTTTTGCTTGTTTGCATGCTTTTTTACATTAAAAAAAACTAGGTTAAAATTTTACAATATAGCCAAGTGGTTAGAAAGTTTGCTTTCCAACCATGAGATGCAGGTTCAAATTTCAGCACTGGTTATTATATACATATTATATATATATATATATATATATATATATATTATATGTATTATAACATTTTTTTATTTTATTACTATAAACGTTATTTTTAGTGAGTATACATGTTTGAGTTACTATCCCTGTTTTTTTTTTATTTTCTTAAACAGTAAAATTAATAAAAACTGGCCTAGATTGAAAAGTTCTATTAAAGAAAAATTGTACCTCCAAGAGGAATTGAACCATCAGTGAAATCACTTCTTTAGCTAAAACATACTGCTACTGGTTTGAATTATCTCTTTAAGGAAAGCACATCTCATGTTGGGTCTTCTACAAATCTATATCTGCTAGATTCAGTTTTGTACTCAAAACAACAATTTTTTTTAAGGGTTTTTTTTTTATCTATGATATAATAACAAATTTTTTTTGTATACATATCCCTCTGCTACTGACAGTTTCATGCAATTTTGCAATACTCAGCCAGCAAGAAAGAACTATGTACAAAAAAAAGTTTGTTATATCAAATTTTAGGTTTTGTATTTTGTTTTCTATCTAATATCAAGTTCTTCTTTGGCACAGTGGAGTAATAGATAGTGGCTCAGATTGAAGAATCAGAGAGCCGAGTTCAAATTCCAGTCAAATCCAATACATTCACTTACATGCTAATAACCTTAGGAAAGGTATGAATCCTCTTCTCCTTCACTCAACTATGGGTAAATAGCAAGAAAGATTGGGTTCTATAGCTTTGGATGACAACTGGTTTACTGCAGGAAAATATCTGACTTGTCAGTCACGTATTGAAACATGCATGATTGCCTAAGCGTGTATCAGGCATGGCACATAACTGAACTGAGTGCTTCCGTGCACATTTATATATATATATATATATATATATATATATATATATATATATATATATATAGCTACCTCCAAAAATTTGTTAAAAAAAAAGAGCATACCAAGAAAAAAAAAAGCCCCAAAACTTGATAAAAACAAAATGTTATTATTAAGAAGAAAGACCAATATATTTTTTGATTATTTTATTAATTTTTTAATCCTTTCTAGCGTGTTCAAAATTTTGGTTAAAAATCTTGTTTTTCTTGCATCAGTGGGTGGGTAAAAGTAGTATTGGAAATTTTGTCTGCTTATTTGGCATTAAAAACAGACCTGAGGATTGCATCTAGCATGAAACAGACTGTTGCCTCTAAGTGTTGACTTCTATGTTCACTTTTATATTTACACACACTCTATCTCTGATATTGAGCACTTTATCCCATAAATATAGCACATCTTAAGACTATATTTCTTTATATATGTATATATATATATGATAAAAATATAGTTTTAAGGTATGCTATATTAATGAGTTAAAAGTGCTTGATATCAGAGATAGTGAATATGTAAAAATTAAAAGTCAACATTGAGGTCAACCCCCAATGATGACAGTCTGTTTCATGCTTAAACGCAATTGTCAGGCCATTGCATTTAAGCATGAAACAGACTATTGCTGCTGGGTGTTGACCTTAATGTCCACTTAAAGTTTTTAAAATTTCTAAATAAGTTGTTTATATAATCAGTAAATTTTCAAAAGTTCATTTGTGTTTTTTTGTTTTCTCCTGAGTAGTTTTGAATGTTTCTACATTTGTTGTCAAGGATTACATTTTTTGTCTGTTTATGCAACTGTTTTTGGTTAGTTCTGGGATTCTCTCATTTGCTGGAAACAGTTTTAAGTCACTGAAGGTGATGTCATTTGCAATGCTCAGACTGAATTTTTTCATGATTTTTTTATACACACTTCAATATATGATCTCATAAAGAGAAAGATACAATATTTAATGATGCCAGCTTCCTTTTTATTACAACAGCTTCTAGAATTTTAAAAGTTTTTCTTTGTTGTAAATGAGGTTACCTTGACTAACTTGAAATTAGTTCTAGTAAATGAGGGAATGCCAGAATTAGTCAAAAACAGTTATACTAGCAGAAGCATCTAGCCTTGCCTGTGTTTATAAATTGCTAAAAATAAATAGAATTGCATGACTTATACTTTGTATCAATTTTGAAAAAAAATGTTGACAATCTTTTTTGAAGACTTTCAAAATTGTTGCATTGAAGCAATTCAAAAACCAGCTGTATTTTACATTTGATAAAGATTTACCATTAATTAAAACATAAACAAATTAAATCTAATTTTTGTTTCATTTCCTTGTCATTCTTTTCATCTGATTCAGATCTTTAAAAAGTTTGTTTTGTAATATTGTGGCACATATTCCTAAACACCAAAGATATGCAGGAATTTTACATGTGTATAAAGAGTGGATAAAATTTTTTTTTTCTTTCCAAGAGTTGCATACAGTGCTGAGAAGCACATTGACACTTTTCGTCAGAAGAATTCCTCTGCATTTGTGGTTGGCTTCAGTGGTGAGGTTGGGCGTCACTTGCTGGAGACACTCGACCAAGCAAAAGTGTTTTCCAGGATTGTTCTGATTGGACGAAGAACCATCAATTTGGATCATTTGGGACCAGAATTTGTGAGTTCCAATTACATTTCCTGTCACTTAAATGGATTGATATTTATCCATTTTCAATTATTTAAATAATTCATTTGAATAAAAATAATTTACAATCTATTTTCATTATAAAATTTATTGGCAATGCATTTTCATAATAGAAACTCATTAGCAATGCATTTCAGTAGTGAAGAAATATTGACAATGGAAAGAATAAAATTTTTATGTTAAAACAGAATTAACCTTTAGCACTCAGCATGCAGGTGACTTCATTTGTCTAACAAAATGTTTGTACAGTCACTGCATGCAACTCTGATCATCAGACAATAATGTGGTTGAATTTTGTGCTAATGTTGTCAACAGGAAAATGACTAAATGAAAATTGAAGATAACGCTACTGCTATTTGTCTGGCCACTTATACCCAATGGATGAATTACTTATGAATATTGTAGAATGCTAAAGGTTAACAAAAATGTAATGTAAGGGTGATATTTCTCATAGGTTTGGAATTCAGATCTTGTTGATATTATATTTTTATTTTACACTATCCAGTATTTGTGAAACTTGAATTGGGCAGTGTGTGCATTTTCTAAATGATGCATAAAAATATATTAATCTGCATAAATTACTGTTAGAGATTTGATAAGATTTCCTTGATTTCTAATAACTTTGAAAATCATTATTAATTTTTGCATGAAAATTTTATTTAACTTTATTCACTTTTAAAAATGAGGTTAATTAATCATGGAATGGAAAACAAATTTAAAAAATATTCAGGGAAAAAGAAAACCTGTTTATTTATCTCTATTATTGGTTGTATTTATCTTCTTGTGAATTACATCAGAAAATGTTTTCATTTTAATAAAATGAGACATCTGATTTATTCTGTTACATTTTATTCAGTACAAGGTAATTTTTAACCTCTATTTGGTGGTTTACGGCCACATTACATTGAAACACTGATTCCCTGTACAATCACAGAAGTTAAGCAATGTCAAGCCTGGTCAGTACCTAGATGGGTGTTTGCTTGGAAATACCAGGTGTTGTAACCTTGGATATGTGGGTGGTGTAATGGATAATAACTCAGAATTGTTAATCAGAGAGCTGAGTTCCAATCCCATTGGGTTCATTATATTCACTTATGTTCAAATACCCTTGGGAAAGTTTTGACTCCACCCTTTCCCCCCATATATGGGTTAATTAGTAAAACTTGTATCACCAAAACCATTATTATCTAAAAAAACATTTGTTTAAAAATATTTACATTTCGGCATTAAATAACCCATAGAGGTTGGTATGCTGAATGAAAATGAAAAAAAACAGCAACCAACCAATTTGGAAGCATTAAATTAATTGATTTTTTTTCAATAAAATATCTTAGTCACTTTACTTATAGAAAATGATTCAGTCCTAGTTTTTCTTACTTTGCCATTTTAATCCTGAGTATGACAATAAACTACAACTAGCAGCAAGGCCTCTGATCAGGAGATTGGAGGTTTTGAGGAGTGTGGAACCACTTCTTAATTGTTGTTTTTTGCTGGTCTACCCTGATCTGGGGTAGTAGCACCTATTAGGGTCCCAGCTATGGGCAAATAGTGAGCTCTCAAACAAAAACAAAACACTATAAAAGTATAAAAATGTATTTTTATGGTAAAAATACCAGCAATTCATTTTTATAAAAAAAAAGACCAATAATACATATTTATAGTAAAACAATCAACAATACATTTTATCTGTAGTTGAAGGCATACAATTGTGTTCAAAATATATTTAATTGAAACCGTAAAATTGCTGCCAAAATATTTAGAATTCAGCATAAAACAACCCATAGAGGTGTTGATATGCCACTAAACAAAATCAACCAAATCAATTTTGACATGTCAGAGGCCATTGTGAAAAAATTTCTTTTACATATCAAATCTACAATTAGATAATTTTTCTCCCACTATCTATGTTTTAGTTTCTATCTGTACATATTGATGATAAGTTTAATTTATTAATTAGCCACAATAATAACTAATAATAAAATAGAACAATTATAGGGATATACTGTAATAAATTACAGAAGATTTGTTCTTAGCATCATCAGATTATAGTTTGTTTTTCTTTCTTTATTAAGTGAAGAACTTTCACTTTTTCACTTAACAGAAAGACTTTATAGCTTTTCTTTTGTAAATTCAAATTGCCAGCATCATTATTCTTGTACTTTAGGATCAACATTTTTTTTTTCTTTTTTTTTTTTTTTTTTTTGTAGGAACAACGCCGTGTAAGATTTGATCTACTTGAAGATTATGCTGAGACCTTTGATGGACTTGATTATGGATTTTGCACATTGGGGACATCACATAGCTCTGTCTTGTCAGTATGTATACTTTCTGTTTTCATTCTATATTCTGTGATACACATTTGGGTTTAGCAGAAAGTAAATTATATCATACCAGTAGACACCTGCAGAAATTTTGCATTTTTTTAATTTTTTCCCATTGATTTATTGCACAGCTCAAGAAGTAAGAGGGTACAAATGAAAAGATTCAAAGTTGACAAGGTTGTCCATTTCACTGAAGCAGATCATTATCACTTTCTCTATCTTCCTTTTCATTCATTCTTACCTATATATGCTTTTTTCTCACTAAACCCAAATAAATCTCCGATATATCTTTTTTTTTCATTTTTCCTTGAAATCATAAGAGAATGGTCTATATTTATCTCAGATAATGGCACAGTATGAAATAAGTCAGTACTTACCACAAGACATTTATACCTTTTATTTCTAGCAACACATATACAGTTCTGCAAAAGTAAGTATTGTGTTTATTGATATGTTTGTATAATCAATACAATTACTGTATACCTACTTTTGAATCCTCCTATATACAGTTTTAACCTACCCCAGACTGCAGCTAGCCAAAAGTAAACAGGATCTTTAGGGATTTACTCTGTCCACTAAACCAAGAGTTTGTAGTCAAGGGACAGGTAAGCTTTTACAGGATATAATTCGCATACTAACTTACTAATAGAGGCACAAGCAAAATTTTAATATGATTATGTATGTGCAAAAGTTTCCGATGTTTGTTTTTATTATTGTTGTAGCATACCTACAGACGATAATGGGTATGTCCCCATTCATATAAATACAGTAGTAAATACTGTATGTTGGTCTGCAGTTGGAGATTCATTGTGAAATTCACTTGACTCACTTCTAGCAGTTGACTACTTCTACATGCCACTGGTGAATCTTATATGTGTTGTTCTTGTCCTAAGTATTATCATTCATTGCCAGCCTTTGTGTGACTATTCTATTCAGTAATCTTCCCTAGGTTACAACAATTATAAAAAACAGTTTCCTACTGTATGTTTAGTTTATAGTTTTCAAAAAAAGAGGATGCTGGAAATTTTTGCAGACACTAATTTGATTTAGTTTACTTGCTGCTTTTTTTTATTAAGCTAAGTCCAATCAAATTCAGATATTTTCTAGATATTTCATAGTTTAATTTAGCTTAGCAAAAGGGCCCTGTGGTGAGACATGCAAGGTAAGGATTCATTGCAAATGACCTTTAACTTGTTAACTGTTGTTCAATAATAGATGACTGTATATCTCTCCCTATTTTATATGTCTGAAAGAATCTTTAAATTATCATATTTAAATGGGAGAAATCTCACTTGTGCCTTTTGAGATTTGGAGATAAAATTATTTCTTTCTGTCTGAATTTCTGGTATGAGGAGTTATCATTATTTACATGATTTATATTCAGACTATTGTTTTCATCTTTGTTGTTGTTATCACAATGTTTCGGCTGTTGTACTCTCTGGCCTTCCTCAGGTGTATATCGATCTGGGTAAACCACAGGGAATTCTGAACTGAACCCTTTATTTAATCTAAAGGAGTAGACAGTTTTACCCAGCAGTGGAATGAGAACAATCTACCCACATAGATTAAATAAAGGGTTCAGTTCAGAATTCCCTGTAGTAAAAAAAATTATTTGTATTAATTTTATTTTTGATGAGTTTCTTTAACTTTTACTAATTTTTTATATCACACAATAGCTTTGGTGATTAAAGCAGTAAGGCATTGGCATATGACACGTTGGTTGTGGGCCTTGTATGAAGTGGTTGCTTACTTTTGAATTTCTGCAATTTAATTCAGTAGACAAAGAATGAATTAGCCAAAAAGAACATTGAGATAAAAAGTAATAAAATTTAAAAAAAAATAATTAAAAGTAAAAACCTATGGAAGAATGATGTACTGCTTTTTATTTCTTTCTTTAAGTTATTAATGTCAGTGTCTTTTTGTGAATTACTTACATCAGAAAATGTGTTCAATTTAATAAAATGCAATAAGCATGTTTATTTGAGATTTATTCTGTTACCTTTTATTCAGTACAATGCAACTTTAAACTCTAATTTGGAAACTTTAAACAAATTACTGGTATTTTAATAAAAGATTTTAATGACTTTATATAAAATATTTTATGGAAGATCTGTTTTGATATTTGAAATGTGTTATTTTGTTGTGCCTTTTGAAATTTGGAGATAAAATTATTTATATTATTTTTGATGAGTTTCTTTATCTTTTATTAATTTTTTATATCACTTGATACCTTTGGTGATTAAAGCAGTAAAGAATTGGCACATGACAAGATTCTATATTGGTTGTGGTCCTTGTACAAAATGGTTGCTTAATTTCTGTATCTTAATTCAGTAGTCAAAGAATGTGCAGTGTGATACCATGGATATCGACTCAGAATAAGAAATTGGATAGTGAAGTTCAGATTCATTGCATTCACTTACACACAAATACCCTAGTGAAAGGTATGAATCCATCTTTTGTCTCCACCAGTTGAATAGCAGGACAGACTTGGTCCTATAGCCTTGTTTGGCACAAAGGCTACTGAAGAAAGAAATGGCAAACTACTGTGAGAAATACTTCTGCCTAGTCAGTCATGAATCAAGAGAGGCATGATCGTCCAAGTGTGTATCACATATGGAACTTAATTGAGTTAAAGAATGAATTAGCCAAAAAGAACATAGTGATAAAAAGTAATAAAATTTTTAAAAAAATGATTAAAAATAAAAAAGAATAGAAGAAGGATTTATTGCTTTTTGGTTGAAGCAGATTTATACTTTATAAGTCATACAAATTTGCATTCTCCTTTTTTTTTGTGTTTTCAGGCAGAATTCAATCGAGTTGACCATGATTATGTCTTGAAGACAGCCGAAGTAGCTAAAGCTAAAGGATGTAAACATTTCACTGTTGTGTCATCACATGGGGCTGATAGCAACAGCAGTTTTTTCTTTAAACAAGCCAAGGTAAATAACATTTGTAACTTATTAAATCTTATTTGTAGATTAATTATTAAATCTTGTACAGAAAGCAAGTCACTTGAAGACTTTCAACAGCAGCAAGAACTAAAATGAATAGTATATGTATGTTTAAATGAAAATAATGATGTAATCAAGATGTTGACATTTCTCACTACTTTGAGCAAAAATTTAGGGAGGAAGTCCGGTCAATACTGGAAAGAATAATAACAACTACCAGATTTGATAAACCTATTTTCCTGAAGGAAAAGGATGTGCAGTGGAGTAATGGTTAACAGCTTGGATTGAGGAATCAGAGAGCCGAGTTTGAATTCTAGTCAAATCCATTACATTCACTTATGTGCTAATACCCTTGGGAAAAGTATAAATCCTCTTCTTCTCCCCCTAGCTATGGGTAAATACCAGGACAGACCGGGTTCTATAGCCTTGGATGGCAACTAGTCTATCGCAGAAAGTAATGGCAACCGACTGCGGTAAAAAATCTACCTCGTCAGTCATGTATCAAAAGATACATGATCACCTAAGCATGTATCATGCATGGCACATAACTGAACTGATTTTCCTGAAATAATAGAAAGATTTTATAAATTTCATCTGAGAGCTGTACTGGCTGCTCAATCAATGAATGCTGAATGTCTCTTTATAAGGAAACAGCTAATATTACCATTATCATCTTATTAAATTACTTTCTGGATAAAAAGTTGGTTTGTTAACTCAATAACATTGAATATTGTTGTATGTTGTGTACTCCAAATTCATTCTTTACAATGTAACTTCTACATATGATTAGTAGCTAAGATGATATATTAATCATTATAATTGGTCTCAAAAATGGAAATTGTTTGACTCAACCTGATATTTATTACTCAATAAAGATATTTAATTTCCTTTTAGTGTGATACTATGGACAACCATGTAGAAAGTGAAGAGGTGGTTTTATCTTCATTTCAAGTGTTTCTGTGTGACAGACCGGTGGATGATTCCCTTTGAAGTTTGGTCTTCTAAGTGGCATCCATTTTAACTGAAGGAGAATGAGAAGTAAATGGGTGGATGAGGAATTTTTGGAGATCAAGTGACAACAAAGTCGGAAATATAGTATATCTGGGTGTTGGTCTATAGTAACAGTCATGCTTAGGATAGGGGAGAGATCTGATCTTCCCTTGGTGCGAGATGGACATATCTGTCAAGCAGTTCCAAAGCCTCAATTTTGTATTGCCAGCTACTATGTTAAGATGAGTAGATGGGCAAGGAGTTAGTAGAGGAAAGGGCTGACATAGCAGAAGTTGTCCAAAGTATCACCTACATACCCACCCAGATGAGCAGGCAGAGTCCTGAATAAAACACCTAAATATAATATGAGAAACAGGGTATGTGTTCTTATTTCTTGATGTGGCGTTTGTCTTTCATTGTGTCATCTTGTGAGCATGCAGCACATTCTTCTCTTGCTTTTGGTGTACACTGATGAGATTAAGAATCGGAATGATGCAGCATGGGGTAATCATTGGCCGGTTGATGAACAGCACTTGGGTGAGGCTCATGTTGTAAGGTTAAATTTTCACAATTAATAAAATTATGATCAAGTCTCAGTTGATTTGGGATTTACATGGTTTATTAAATTACATTTCTCTAGATACAATTATTTTTTTTCTAATTGGAAATAAATTCTCTGGTCAGAACTTCATCAGTCATTGTAAATTGTGTTTTTTTTTTTAATTTAAGAATTGCCTTTCTTGTTAAATGAGCTTCTTGTCTTGCCTCAATACAATATTTTAGATAAATCCAAGTTTTTTCTAAGTTTAGATTGGTACCAATTAGACTGCAGAGATTCATTGTCCAGTTTGAAACTTGACCTTTTCCTTTAAACCTCTTGTGAGAATCGATTTCTGTAATATTTGTTGATATGAAAATCAATGCATAGATGTTTCTGTCTTTTCAGGGCCTAATGGAAGAAACTTTGATGGAAATGAAATTTGATCGTTTATCAATTTTCCGACCAGGGTGAGATTTTTATTGTCAGTTTCTTGCAGAGAAAATATTGGAGATAAGAAGAAAATTCAGTGTATTGGGAGTTGGATTTAAATACTGAAAGGATCAAAACTTGTTTTTCTTCTGGAATCCAAAGAATTTTATTTCTCAAATTTATCATAGAGTAACTGACCTTTTCAGCAGGCAGCTCTTTGTTGAGATCTAGAGAGGCATGTGTGGGAAAGTGATCACACTAAGAGTAGAGTTGGGCAACACAAGAGGTACATTATATACAAATATATAGTTGATATCATATATCAACTATATTTTAAGTAAATTCCATAGGACTAACAATAAATCTGGTATGGAACCCCCCTGTAATTGTTCAGTTGAGGGAAAATGCAGATCTACTAAGGTGATATACCAAGCAACCATTTACCCCAAAGGAAATAGGTTAAATCATAATGTTTACATTGGAATTTCCATGGGGGAATGGAAACAAAGACTTTACACCCATAGGCATTCTTTTACCAACCCAAAATTAAAATATCAGACAGCTCTTTCCAAAATATTTTGGGAATTGAAGGAGAAAGGTCTGAACCCTCAGATAGACTGGAAAATTATAGGTTTCACTCATACTCCTAATAGTCTGAGGAATAGATGAGACCTATGTTTAGAAGAGAAAATTAGAACAATAAAATTCAATAATCAAAGCAAACTATTAAATCAAAGGAATGAATTAGTTTTAAAATGTCGTCATAGAGGTAGGTTTAAATTTCTATAATATTAGTGATTTTATTTTTTAATTATCTAACTCTTCTAATGTTCAACATATTACTATAGTTATCTCTATATTTTGCCTTCATATTGATCCTATCTTATAACTATCCACTAATTTAAGAAGTCTCTTTTCTTAGATTACTTAATTCTTTATCCTTATAATAAAAAAAATGTTTTTTTAAATGTTTTTTTTTTTTTTTATATATATTATGGGGTATGGTTTGTATTCTTAACAATTTAACTTATCTTTAAAATTTTAAATGGATAATGTTTTTATTGTTAAATTATTTTTATTTTTATTCCTTAATAATGTAAATTTTTTTTTTATATATTCTTTCTTAATATAAACTGTCTAAATACAATTTATTGTTAATCTTGTTATATATCTTATTTGTAAGCAGATTTTGGTATTTTTAATGGGAACATTTTTTTTATATAATTAATAATTAAAAATTTTGTTTTATAAAATTCCTTTTTTTCAGCCTTCCTTTAGTTTCACTTCATCTTTCTTATAACCCCAATTGGGGTCTTAAGGGTAATGGGTTGAATTTGTGGAGCTTCTTTCCTTTTAAACAGATAACTTCCGCCCTCCCCTTACCACTACTCGAGAAGTCTGTCCTGCTGAGGCTTCAATATGGATAGGCTCTGTATCAATTTTTGAACTGCTGTCTTTGTTAAATATTAATTTTTAAATATCTAGTAACAATACTAAATACAGTCCATCCGTCTGGGTTGAATAATACTGACATACTCAGCATCAGTTCAAATAGACTATACCCATGAGGTAACTTTGGATTTCTCTGCTGTGTAATATATATACATATATATATATTTCTTATTCTTTCATTCTTTTAATATGTCTGTTTTTACTGCAATAATTTGGGATCATTAAATTCACTTATGCACACTTCAGAATGTTATAAATCCAGTTCTTCTCTCGCCAACTATGGGTTAATTATGAAGACTTGAATTAGTAAACCATTATTATCTCAAAAAAAATTCTTATAATTTAAAAATATTTTCTGGCTTTAAATAACCTGCAGAGGCTTGATAAGTTGTAGAAAACAAATCAATCAATATGTTTTGATATGAAATCCTCATCATCAGAGCTAACTAAATGATTTCTGCATTTTAAAAAAATATTTAGGAAAATCTATTCACTAAAATCACTTGATTACAATATGTTTTAATTTCATTTCTCTTGTTTTTTGTTTTTTCAGTGTTCTCCTGTGTGATCGCAAGGAACATCGACCAGGAGACACAATCTTCCAATCTTTATTGCGTCCAATAGCTTATTTCTTCCCAACTGCAGTCACATTGCCAGTTGAGACAGCAGCCATTGCAATGTTGAACAATGTGATTGCTCCCAATAACAGGACTGTGGACATTTATGAAAACAAAGCCATTCATGTTGTGGCTGGGATGGCATCTCAATATTGTCCTCCTGAACTTGTTCCACTGAAGCACCATGACCATAGTTTCCATCATAAAGATCATGATTCAGAATTCTAGCTCAGCAAGGGCTCTGTTGACAAAATCCTTTTGCCTGTGAATCTTTCCAGCTGTTTTTTAGAGGTGTTTGGGTGCAATCATGCTGTAAAGTGAATCCCTGCTTAACTGGGGTTCTCTTTGCAGCCTGGTTTCTTGTATCAGATATTTTGGGAACCTATTGAAATGCTTTTTGTAAAGAATGTTCAAATGCCACTCATTCAAAATTGTTTTCTGTTTTTATGTTATTTGATGTTTGGTAAGATGGTTGTCTGAATTACACACTCCATTTTAAAATGAAACAATGGGATAGGAAGTTATTAGATAAAAGAATATTTTGGACCCTACCAACATTCTTGAGTGAATTTGAAATTGATTAATTTTTGTTAAATAATCCCTATTGTGTTGGACAAAAAGTTCAGAATTTGGAAAACAATAACTTCTCATCACATGACAACAGAAGATTTACAGATATACTACTACTTTTTATTAAAAATTATTTATGGTTAAATTTGCATACTGTTTGATCAAAGTTAATTTATTTAAATCTGATTTTAGTCAAAGCCTAGTTCACTGAAGTCAGTTGCGTTATACCAAAGAATTGATATATTTATCCTTATATAGTTTATTTTCTGGCATCAAAGATGTACTGATTTCCAATGTGTCCTCCTAATTTGTTTTGTTAAACAGTGAATTTTTGAGGTTTATTTAAGAAAAAAAGTTTGTTTTCTATGTTGGTAAATAAATGATATTTATTTATTTATACTCCAGTGATTTGGAGAATCTAAGCCTGATTGCTGTCTGTAAGTTTAAAAGTGAGTTATATTGTTCAGTTTTTGGAAAATTTAAATTTTATATTTTAACACTACTCATTTGTTTGAACACAGAATTAATCAAACTGTTTTTTTTTATTTTGAATGAATTTTACTTTGAAACCATTGATTGTGAACTATTTATGCTTTTGTGATAGTGTAGCTTATGTTTTTTTCTTGCTTTTTTATCCAATAATATGGCCAATGGGACAGGATTAAATTTAAGTTGTTCTGAAATGTTTCCTGCTCAATATGAGAAAACATTCTATTCTTTTCTATTTACTTATAGTTAAAAATGAGTGATTTTAGTGAAATTTCAGTTTGAGTTCCTCAAAACACATAGATTAAATTGCTAATTATGGAATAGGTGTTAAAGTGAAAAATTGCCTAAAAAGTTACAATATCTGTTTTAGGGATCTGGAGACAGAAAGTGCAAAGAATAACTATGCATTGTGGGGAAAAAAAGGTGGAAAAGAGCAAATTCTGCTTAGATCAAATCAATTAAAAAAATATTGAAAAATAATACTGCCAATCCGAACCAATTATTTCTCTGATGAAAAACTGCATTTTTTTGTATGTAGATTTGTTTTATTTTGCAAAAATGTTTTCAAAAGAGATTCAATCAGTGATTTACCAATTTTCCATCATTAGAGACTAAAAGTGAACATAAGGAACATGTTTATTGCTTTTGCACATATTATCTAAACTAGTATCTTCATCCTTATTATTTTATTATTTTTTTTATATATTCTGCTTTCCATGGGGTCATATTGCACCTAGGACTGTTCAGAAGTCGCATATCTTTTCTTTCTTATTTTCTCAATAAAAACACTGCAAGTGAACAAATTTATGGGATTGATCATTGTTTTAACCTAGGGAAGAATAGAATAATCACATGGAGGTTGATAATAAATGATAATACTTAGGACAAGAACAACACATATAAGATTTGCCAGCAGTCTGTAGAAGTAGTAGTCAACTGCTAGAAGTGAGTCAAGTGAATTCCACAATGAATCTCCAACTGCAGACCAACATACAGTATTTACTACTGTATTTATAAAAATGGGGACATACCCATTATCGTCTGTATATACGCTACAACAATCATTTAAGCAAACTCTTTAATCTGAACTGTTTTTATTGATGATATTTAAACAGAAATACACTTGAAGAAATCTGAATATATATTTTAATTGAAACAACATGAGATAATAAAACATCAGATAACAGCTTTACTTACAGATTTTCTGCTATTTAACCTTTCCTTTTTTTCTTTGCATTTTATATAATTTCACTCTTTTGGAGTCTTTTTCATTGAAGAAAATGTAATTGAAATATCAAAAAATCAGCAGTGTTCAAGCCACAAAAAATGCTGTGTCAAAAGGATGGCTATTCTGTTAGCACTGCTATTATGGTTTACACTTTTGACTTTCTTGACAATGTTTGTTTTTAAAAGGTGATGATTAGAATATTAATAAACTCAAACATACGAAAGCGAATTTATACATTTACTTGAGAATTGACAACAAACATTACATTATACATTTTCTTGGGAATGACAACAAATATGTTAAACACTATTTATTTATTAGATTGAATAAAAAAACTTGTTTTTTTTTTTTATAAAATGGTAAATAATAAATATTACATTGTAGTTGGTTTATATATTTTGATAATTTTATAATTTTCTATAAATTTTTGAATAAAAAGCTTTCAAATTTATTTCTTTATAAAATGGTAAATAAATCTTTATAAATGGTAAATAATAAACTCTACATTGTACTTGGTCCATATATTTTTATAATATTGTAAATAAACATTGCTGTGGGAGTTAAGTGTTACAGTAATAGTAGGGTCAAGGGAATAACCATCCTTTTGACACTGTTTTTTATGGGCACGAAAGTGAAACATTGCCAAAAAATCTTTCATTTGCTACACTTATTTTAATTAATTAAAAAGAATGTTTTTAGTTAACTTTTATTCTCTGTCTTCAAAGTGTCAGGTGGACAAGATTTTATTTCTTAGTATTAATGCATTTGCTTTGAAGATAATTTTCCTCTGACAGATCTCCAATTTGTTATAAACACTTTTTCAATTAGTTCATAACCTCTTCATTGGATGACATATTGAGCAGAGTTTAAGTGAAGTTACTAATAAAATCTTAATGTGAATAAGCAATATGGAAATTCAGAACAAAAATGTCAATTTGGACAAGATTTGGTCTTGTATCCCATTATCATAAGAGGTTATCAACTCTTATATTATTTTGGCCATGAAAGCTATGATGCATAAATAGATGTTTTTAATCTTATATTTCTTCCATTGCTGTCTTTGTTCTTAAAAATATTACTTGTTTTGCTAACTACTGCTATAATAATAGTAATAACAGCAGTAGTTAAGTGTTTCATTGTATTAGAACACATTTTTGTGCTAAATTATCTATATATATATATATATATATATATATATATATATAAAACAATAATGAAGATTGTATTTTGCCAAACAACAATCGACTAGGGTAATTCTAGAAGACAAATTTAAGCCAAGATGTCTTTGTAATTTTAATGTCAATATCAAGAGATAATAATATATAAATTAAATTTACTTATCAAGTCAAAAGAATGGAAGTAATTCTGCAAAAGTCAAAGTAGAGACAGTCATAAATGAACAAATTTATTTTATATATATATATATATATATATATATATATATATTAACTTTCACAACTGAATCAATAAGCTGTCAGATCCTCATACATTGAAACCGACGGGAGAGTCCATTATATATATATATATATATATATGTGCAAATTGTTATGTTTGTAAATATGACTACTTATATAAAATAACTCAAAAATAATTTCAGTATTTGTCTTTAAATATTCATTCACTCTTAAAGAGTGGGCTTTTGTTAAATTGTCCATTTTATCCCTGAAGCCATAAGTATAGTTTTCAAAGTTTGTCTCAATGTCAAGCAAAACAAAGCCAGAATATTTGACTTTTATTCTATTTGTTATTTATTATAAATCATGTTTTTGCCATTTTTTATGTTTTGGCATTTTCTGATTTTTATTTATCTGTTGTTGATGTGTTTGTTGTTTCCTTATTTCATGGCCAACAAAACTTTTATCTCACCAGTTACCACTGGAATTGTTACCAACCATTACATCTGTCCCACTAGGAATTTATTAAGTTAAGTCATAAGTAATTTCTGTTTTGTGGAACCAGTTGTAATATTTTGAAAAATAAAGTTAATAAACAAAATATGGAAATTATTTGTGACTCAACCTAATAGATCTGTATTTTCAATGATGATGAATAATAAATCAGTTTAAACTGACATATTCTGCACAGGAACTTGATCTAACATTACATGTTTTTCCTTTAAATTTCTCCACATTTTGGATACTGTATGGAGGAGAAGCAATCTAGATTTTATTACCTCATGTATGATCTTTATATAGGGATCATAATTCACCATAAAGTAGGAAAATCTCACACTATATATGTAAGTTTCTTCTTGGTCTGATGATTAGAAACCCTAGACCAGTTATGGGCAAACTGTAGCTCTTGAGCCACATGTGGTACGTTTGGCTTTTTTGAATTGCACACCTAATTTATGCCTAACATTTCTTAAAATTTTGTTCACTCACGCTTTCTCATATATAACTACTTGCATAAACAATGATTAATACAATGTTTCTTGATTTTTGTTTATTAAACTTTTGATGAAGTTAATATTTTCAGCATTTTAAACCATTGACAATTTTCACTAAGATCATGTGTAAACATCTTTTGTTTTAGAAACTGTTAAATACACATAACTATATCCAGCCCTAAATATTCAATTGAATCCCTCCAAGAAAATGTCCTAAACTCACCTCTTGATGACTATGACCAATTAGAACTTTTATACAGATTTTCTTACCATTAAAAACTGTCCAATGTTCATTCAAAAAATCCAACTGTGAATTTAATAATTTTAAAATTCTTTTAGAGCAGTAATTATCAAGTTATTAGGAGAAGCAATGCTTACCTCCCTTTATTTTTACGACATTCCGGTGGTTAAGATGTTTACAGTAATAAAAACAATTGTTATATACGATTGTTTGACTCTGCCTGAGTGCCCAAGATACACATTACAATGATAGCCAATGCTGTTGGTCATATTGTCAATTTTTTTTATATCTTAGTTATCCCTTTGATAAAC